TTATCGCGAATAGCCCATTCGGATTTCGAATGTCTCGCGAATACGTTGATACATTAAACGTGTGCGCTGACTTGCTGAAACTTGAAAAATTTTGCGAGAGAGAGAGAACCGGCTTGCAACATGTTCAGAGTATGCTGTTATATTCTGTGTTTGTACAAAGAATTGTTAAACACCTTTAATGATGCAAAGTGGTTGAGAATTTTAAGTTGCAGAAAATTGTATTAACGTGTGTGTGTGTGTGTGTGTGAGTAGAGATCTATTTGAACGAAAAGCGTGAAATCGTAGTAGAAACTAGCGATATCTATATTCCGGAGATTTCACAAGCGATTCACAATCGGCCGCAATTTTAATCCAAACCGTTGCGTCGTCAATGTAGCGAGCATCACCGGGGTTTTTTGCCCGGTCATCAATCTGTCGTGGCTCAAGGGTACCTTCGAAGATCGCGCTATCTATAACTCGCCGCCGCGTGTGGCCGTACTTCCGAAGGAATTCCAACCCCGGCGCCGTTGGAATTGCACGGAAGAGTCGCCCGGGGAGTTAAGCTGAGCAACAGCGTTGCACCGCCCGGTCCGTTAGTCTATCCGCACAATAAACTACAATCACAAATTACAGAGTCAAATAGTTTCGGCGTTTCGCGCGGAATGTCGCAATTTCAGCTTCGCGAGAAGGGGTTTTCGGACCGGCGGGCTGCAGGCGAAGAGGGAAGCGCGCGGGTCGCGGTGACTTCTTCCGAGCACGGCGAGAGGCGGGTGAGGATGGAAGATGGAGAACGTCGGATAGAAGCACGAGACTAGGGAAACCAGCGATAGGGGCGCGACGGAGCGGGCGAGGGGAGGGAGGTAGAAACGTGCTGCTCTAATGAACTTACAATAATTGCCAACCATTGATCTATGGGCCAAAGAGTTGTGTTCCCTGCTGTATACCATTACCGAGGCCCTCCTTCTTCCTCGGTGTACGTGTTTCTCTTCCTATTGGGAGCCTCTTTTCTTCCTTCCCTCTCTGACACCGCCGGCGTCGCTCGTTCTCCCTCATCGGGATAATGTTCCTAGCCGGGGTGGCATACATTGTACCCGGCATTAAAGTAATTCTAGGCAGCTAACTGCGACGACGACGAGGAAGGCTCTCGTCTGCGCGATTGTTTATCCTCGTCGAAACGCGGGACTAAATTTACAGAATAGGAGACTGTCAGATGCGACAGCATGGAAAGATATTGCAAACGTTTTTTATAATTATGTCCTACGCAAGGCAATTTATGTTAATAATGCAGTGCATTTAAGCATATGTCTGTAATATTTTAAAATAATAATAAACAAAGAAGATACATATACAAAATACACAGCTCTTGATAAAACTGATAAAATATTTTTCGATCGTAGAAATATAAACGTCTCCGAGGGAAAGCAGTTTGCTACTAAGGAAGGAAACATCCTAAACTGCTGCAAAAGATAGTGGGCGGCGAGTGCGCGTCTCGACAGGAACGAAGGGACCATTTACATGCTACTCGACAGGCAATATCGAGCGCAGTCGCCGTTTGCTTTAACTGTCCCGCCAGGCAATTCTCACTATCGCAAAAACAATTAATGCTCGTTAAAAGAAATCCTTGATTTACTGTTGAATGGGGTTCGAGGCGAGATAACCGTTGCCGACATGCCTTACGCGAAATCCCCTTCCTTAGCTGCGAGTTAACAAGGGAGCCGCAATATTCCCGGTCTTTGATCCGGCAACACGAACAGCACCGTCTTTTCGTAGATTTTTACAGATGAATAAACTTTCGTGATTGTCTTCTCAAGATGCTATCTATGACTTTTATGTCACCGTAATTGAAATTGCTCATTGCTCAGTAAAAGAATGATAAACTGATTATATTTTTACTTTTCGATGTCGCGATAATAGCAAAAATAAGTCTTGTAAAGATGCTATAAATTGAAAAGATACTATAGATTTGTAGTAAAAAGAAATCTAAAGAATAGCGATAATAATGGTAAGGATAAGATTTTATGAGACTTTTTTGCGGTACATCATGAATGTCTTTAAGCGGCTGCCTCTTACTGTCGCGAACGTATTAGCCGGCGAGCGTACAATAGGTGGGTAGAGCTTATGGTAACGGATGCTTTACTGCCGGCGCTATAGCCATTAACGGGTAATTAGAAACAGATGCCGAGCGAATCTTTTAACATAAAGCATAACCTTAATTCATAAAGTGCGATTATTCAGCGGCTGGGACACCCGGGAAGAGGCCATACATCACCGCTACCTTCGAAACAAAAGTTTTAATTATTTATTAGCCGGGGCATGCGCTGAATGCAACATTGCAAGCCCATGGTACCACCGCGGTGCTTTATCTTTTATGTACTTACCCCTTGCCTTCGCGAGGAGGATGAGAAAGTCGGGAACTTTATCAGAATGAAAAGAATACAATCTTTCACCTGTGAGTCGTTAGAATCGCGACTTGGGAATTAATATCCTTTTGTTTTACGATATTCGATATTTATGACAGCAAGCTATGCATAAACATCAGTTTCACATTTTTATTATTCATAATTAATAATGGTAAATGATCCTCTATTTACTTTAATATAATGAGAAATAATATGCTATATATATAACGCGATAAAAATTGTATCATTTTCTTCCTTTACTAAAGCTAATTATTAACAACCTAACAGTTTTTACCTCAACGTATATCGATTCGATTATATGTCTATACAATCTTTTCGCAACCGCAAAAAATAAAGTTCGATCCTTTTCTGCCAATTATCGTTAAATTCCGCGGGGAAAGGATCGTATGGTCATTGAACACGATACGAAGCTGCATAATGATCAGGTCGATATATACGTCGGGCAACCGATGTCTGCTACATGAGTTCGGCTCGCGCGAGTTATCCTCGCTCGCTGAGAAGGTGGCGGCGAATTCGACTGCGTCCGACGAGCCTGTTACCGGGAGGATTTGAAAATGAGACGGCTTTGGAGAGCGTAGGACGCGGGACAGGAGGGACGCGGCAGAGTGACGTGGCGCAGGGCTGCCCAGCGGGAAGAGACGAAGAAAGAGCGCGATCTGCGGAGGGACAGGGAGGCACACACCGGGCCGCACCCTTCTCGCGTGGGTCGCCGGATGTGACAGTCGCTCTCTTTAATTACTCACACGCATACGCGCGCCGATGCTACGTGCAAGCGAGGAGAACCCGACGATGCGCGTCGCACACATTCGCCACCCATACCGACGCTGGGATTCGACTTACGCGCCGCATTATGTTTTGTGCGTCTGCCCTCCCACAGGGCGCGCAATCACATACGCGCAGGAGACGAGGTCCTGCGAACCGATAAAAGGACAACGTGAAGTTGACTCGCGTGCGGTCGCGATCGGAGCTTATTTGAATGGCGCAATGAGAAGGGTCGTTGACTTGTCTCGAATACAATGCGCGCAATCCGATATTTTTGTCAATCGTCCGTGAAATTAATAACCGAATAATTAAAAGGACATGTGCGCTCATTGTTGTTATATTATAACGTGCGTATTCTCCCGAATTTTTCTGTTTGCTTAATAACGTTGCGTATATTCCCGCGAGGCTAATGGAGTCGTCAGTTAAATCATTATTCTTTATAACGCCTATTATCTTCTCAATCATAACTCATACACCGCGCGAGAACCCGCACGCAAAGCAGAAGTCTTAATTCAGCAATTAACCTAATGGAATGTATATAACAATTAGGCGGTCCACGCAATTTTGTTTCGTCCGCTTACGGAAGGGAGTGGTTGCATCCCTCCGGCCGAGACCCAGCTCTCTACCCAGCGCCCAAGACGGCGTGCTCCTCGGCTAGCGCCGAAGAAAAGGAAGGCTACGACGACGACAACAACGACGACGCTGATGGTGCCGCTGGATGATGGTAGGAGGAAAAGGGAGAGGTTAGCTGTATTTCGTAATTACCAGCTGATAATTTATGTTTATGCGGCCGTAAGAGCCGAGGGCTTACTTACCCCTTTCGCCATTCGCGTGGATGGGGTGCCGCGCGCTGAGTATATTACTACACATTCTTACGCGCGTGCGAGGGTGCCGGAGTCGCGAGCAGGGCCCAAAGGGGAGGGGGAGGAGTGAGGCAGTGCCCCTTGTTCATATTATACATCCTTAAAGTCCTGCCACCCATTACGCCACGCCGTCGAAATTTACAGCCGTTTTCACACGTTACTGGGGGGGTTAATAGTCCCTGTGGAAAACCGGGAGAACGAATTCTACGGGCCCTCGAGAACCGTTTCGAAAGGCAGAGTCGAGGACTCGAGGAACCTGACCGCGAGCCGCGCTGTCCCTTGACCGCAAAGTGGGGTTGTGCGTGCAGCGTAGATCAACATTTTGCGACTGTTGCGGACGCGAATCGGCAAATTGATTGGATAACGGCGTAGCTGGTGTTTAACATTGCATCAGACGGCAAGGTCGTTAAGAATATCATTAAGCGAATGACTGCAATGTTGGACCGAATTCAAAATTCTGGTGACGATTTTCGCAAGAGCGATTTTTAGATTTCATGTACGGCAAATATATTGTAATCAATCTTCTTTGCATTTTGTAGATTTATATACGATTCTTCCAAATTTGATTTTCTCTTATGTTAATTTTACGTTTGATATTAATATCTACGAATGCTATTTTGCTCTGTACAAAAATTTGCAAAGCAAATATTAATTCATAAAAGCAAGATTAATTAAAATACTAAAGTTGACGATTTTAAGATGCAAAAGTGCGAGATAAAATTTTGCACAGAGATTTGTACGTTGAAAAGCAACGCGGTATTATTTTTATACCATTTCTACAGTAGTTTGTTGAATAATCGAGCAGCTTACAATGAATACACGTACGATCGCGATAGCTTTGCTGATGCAAAGCTATTGCCTTATCTATCCTGCGGAAGCGCGAACTCATCGAATTGTTTGGGCGTTCTACGCCCGTCGAGCCGATTGAAGCTGTTATATAGTCCGGAACTAATTGCGATCGTCAATTAGAACTTACCGGTTGAAACGAGCTGAAGATATTAATTATCGATGGTTCGGCTCGTGCGACTCATGCACCGAAACGACGAGTAGCAGCAGCAGCAGGTAGATAGGACAGGCAGACACTTCACTATTATCGGCTAAACACCTGAAAGAGAAAGAGAGAAAGTGAGAATGAGAGAAGCCGACCGAGGTAGAAAGGTGCGAGGACGAGCCGCAGAAAATTAACTTTCAATTTGAACTCTTTATCGCGCCTGCAGCTTTCCCCTAACGGGCCGCCCTATAGATGGTACTACCGGCAGGTAGCTTACACCTGTACTCCGAATACCGGCCACCGAGGGAACACGTCCCCCTCCTTCGTCGCTGCCGCGCGCTATCGCCAAGAAAAACTTCCGGTTTCCTACATACTCGAAGACGGCAAACGGTTTTCTGTGCACGCGAGCTTGTCGATTGTTACCCCGAGGAAGTTTATTTAGAAAATTTACGGTACATCTGTTCCGTGCCGTCGTATCTCGTCGCCGTCGTTTACACGCTGCACATACGTTGGCTGATAATATCGCGATGAGAAAGAATCACGATATGAACAAATATCGCAGATAAGGCTGCATCATACTTTAGTAGACGTCGACGCTCAACAAGCGTACTCGGGTTAGGCAATATTGCATGCTGACACAGTTTCGACTTATAAATATTAATAGAGTTCGCACGTTTATTGCCCTTCCCATCTGTCAAATGCGAAAAGAAAAGAAAATAAAAATGTCGGTCGCAAAACGAGTATTATCTTTTTATATTTATTATCGATATCATTATTCGCAAGCATCAGCATATTCTGTTTTATTCATAAATGTGTCGTCGATGTAACGTCGTCGATACCGGACGAACGTCGGTTACTAAATTGCTCGAAGACAAGTGCAAGCGTGGTCGCGTCGGTATACGCGAGCATGTCTCTCCGTATGTCGTGCTCGTTCACCCCTGACGCAGCACCTTTAAGTTTCAAGTCGTCGTGAATGTCGTTCGGTGAAACGTATTCGCAGTGCGTGCGTGCGTGCTGGTCGAACACGCGTGTACGCAGGGCGAGCGATCGGCGAGGAAACCGAAGGGAAGCCACCGGCGGAGACGCAGATGTCGGTGAAATTCCGTTCGGAAAGTCACTCGAGCGGCGCCGCTCGCATAAGTGAACAAGGCAACCCACTCCGGCGCGTCTTCCTTTATCGCCGCACCACGGGTACTTCTTATTGCCTACGCGCGAATTCATAATGTCAGCTACGCGCTGGCTGTATACGCTTGTATACAGGCGGTTTCGTAAGCCGCAGATCGACCGGTAAGATTCGGCGAAATGTTCGGCGAACGAGAGATATTATCGCGCGGATATTCGCAAAAATCCGCTGTACGTTACTTACCCTGTACATTCTGTCGCGCACTTTCACGACTTTTTCACATACCCAAAAGCGGCCGCGTGCATACAAAGAATAGTGTTAACTCTGAGCAGATGTTTCTTTTTTCGTGTCAAAGAAAGTTTTGTTTCTTTACAAATATATACGCTCCCTGGGACGATTATTTGAACAGTTTATCTTTTCACATGTATACCTTTATATTTTACATTGCGTTATCGATGTGTTTAAATTATGGAAATTTAAAAGAAAAAAAGAATTAGAAAATCACTGTTAAATAAAAATATTTCCAAAAATATACGCTTGTATATATATTTCATCACTTGCGTTTACAAATAGGCGCCTAACGCCCGTAACTTTTCTCTGCAACACTATTTTATTCGTTAACACGTTACTGAAATACCTTTCGCCCGTAAGAGATGATATCGGATTTAAAGATACATTAGCCAACACCGTGGAAATATAGGAATAATATTGACAGGGCAATTGCCGTCGATCATTAAGAAACGAGGTTCATCCCGCTAATTTCCTAACGACAGAGGCCATAGTGTAACTAGCCATTAATTTCTAATTAAGAGGCAGTAAAATTTCAATAATGATCATTAGGAAGCGGACGTTACGAGGCCGGTTCGGCCGATACGTTGCGTCGAAGGGTTCCGGAGAAAGGGGACAGCGAGAGCGACAGAGACAGGCGAGAAGGAGCAAGACACCGTACGACTGACCGTCAGGTGCGCCAGATGCACGCCCATCCCTCCTTCTTCGATACTAATCGTTCGTCGATCGTTTCTAAACGACCTTCGTATACCGACACGAAGAACGACTTCCTCAGCCAGCACCGTCCGCCACGACGTCGCTATTACAATGAAATTATAGCAGTGCGGTATGCAGTTAGAGTTATTACGTAGCTACGTTTAAATCAGCGATATTATTTTAATCTTTCTGCAGCTACATTATCGCGAGTGCGATTGAGATCACGAATCTTAAAGAGTCGACAAAATATTCCTCGCTATTAAGACGAATAAATTTTCTGACGCAACACCGCTAAATCGACCGACGTATGTACATACGAATGCATTCGCGAGAATATATTCGTCTTTGATTAACTGGTTAAAGTTTCGTACACTTTGCATAAATTTTGTATACATATTCTATGTTTCTTTTTGTGCAGCGATATCGTTCAAGAAGTAGGATTATATTAATCTTGTCACGTAGATGAAAATCCTCTGTAAGACAATACGCCGAAACGCGCGCGAGCCAGCACAATGGCTAAAAAGGATGCACACACGTCGGTTATAATCACGAGCGTACAATGATCAAATAAGCTCGCTCCGGGCTCGCATTTGTAACAGCGCGGCGCGGCGGTATTTTCCCGGTACTCGTATACACATAGGTGCGTGAAAGTTACACCGGGTATCGGGTAGCCCATTATATTCCGCGGCGAGGTTAATACTGGATGAATTGGAATTGAATATTATGGCCCGGCCTGTGCAAACAGGGCCACCGCGCGATGCGTGTTGGCGATGGCGGTGGTGGAGGTGCCCGCTGGTACCGGAGCTACGCGGAAGCGGGTAGTTGCGGTAACAGGTACGGGCCTTGGCACACCCTGCCACCGGTCACTTGTACGGAATTGTAATTATAACGTCGGTAAGTAAATTATAATACAATGCCGCGCCGGCGCGTGTTTGGTATTCACAAGATAAATAATACCGGCGTACGCCTCCGGAGTCAGCCGCGAGACGGACCGACCGGTGAGGCGCGCGCGGCGGGATGGACGGGCCGTGCCGGGAACGAGAGAACAAGGGGGAGGCGGGAAACAGAGAAGTTGAGACTCACGGAGCAAAATAGCCGAGTTTCCTGCGCTTCTGCGGTCAAAGAAGCTTGACCTCGGACTACCTCGAAATCACCTACGCGGAGTTTTCTGACCTTTGTCGGGAACGCCGGCGGGGAAAAATCTCGCGGTAGTTTGCGGCGGGCGGAGTGTTCGGAATATGAAGGAAGTTTTGCGGTCGTGTAGCTTATTGTTAGTAGACTGGAGAATGCCGAATTCGAGTGAAACGCATGCGTAATGATTGTTCGCGCATTCACGTATCATCGACAGCAACAAACAATAATGCATCGCATTATTAACAATGTGTATGTATAATGATTTTGGCTGTTTCAAATTAAAATGTTATAACATTGTAATTTATCTTAAGTATCGGAGAAAAACAAGGTCTCTCGTGTTTTTATCATATTTGCGGACTCAGCGAGCATCTTAAATTCGATCCTGGCGAGACGCATTATCAATGGCATCACATGGACTATCAATTTCGTCACTGTGGAACTTCCCCGCTTCTCATTTCTGTAACTTATTCCTATCCATTCCACAGCCGCGTTCTTTCTTCTTCTCGCGTGTCTCTAATGCCGAGACACATAAAGTCCAATATACGAACGAGCCGGCCGCACGATGACCATGACTCAAAAGAGTTCCCTCATCGCATCGGGTAAATAACACCCACGTGACGGTGTCGCTTTCTTCCAGTCGGTGGCTAGATTACCCGGATGAGTTATGATAATTCCTACCGGACGGCGATCAACGACGTCGAGCAATCAAACATGGTGCTCGACCGAGCGTACCAAAGCCCGCCAACGCTGTCGGCGTAATATCTTGTGCTGCGAAATAACACGACGCCGGAGAAAGACAGAAAGAGAGAGAGAGAGAGAGAGAGAGAGAGAGAGATAGATAGAGAGAAGGAAGAGAGGCCCAAGCTCCCGAGGGACGGGCACACCTGTCCTTTCGCACCTTCCTCCCGAACTATTAATCTTTTTGCAGTCCAGACTCTGGTCATTTCGAGATCGTTAGAGATGATTGATACGTATCGGCAGAACTGATTGTAGAATTGCGGCTTATCTTATTGAATCTATATCGCACTTGTCGAAATTAGCTGCTATTCAACGATGTCATCGATAATTTTAGGATGCTGACGATAATAATCATTATAATGTGTGTGCGTGTGTGTGTGTGTGTGTGGAAAGTAATTTCTGCACACTTGTTTTTCAAAAAAAGAAAAATAATTTTCAATAGATTCATCTATTTATAATCTAAATGAGGCGAAACTCATTTTCGTACACAGAAATAATTTTGTCCAATCAAGCTTGTTTCTGAAGTCGCTTTACGTCATCGTTTAAAAGACTGACGTCCTGATGTCGTATTTAGCTCTTGATCTTCCTGAAGCCGAAATAGCCGTGGCGAATTGTCGAACGCAAAATCGTAATTTCAAGGAAAGAGAACGACGGATATGCCGGCGACAATAACAATTATTACTCCATCTCGACAGCCGGAAACACAATGGCCGGTCCGAGAAATCGCGCCAATTGCCGGTCCTCACGTCGTCGTCTCGCATATACGCGCCCGTTAATCGCGCGCGCACATACATCGTGTTCGTGGAAACGGAAAAATAGCCTGGGAACAGCTTCGGAATCGCTTTGCCACGAGAAATTCGCCGTGCTACGTAAAATCAAAACTCCGGCTACAGCTACGAGAGAGAGAGAGAGAGAGAGAGAGAGAGAGAGAGAGAGAGAGAGAGACGAGAGG